ATAAAGGGGGCTGGGTCCACAGAAAGGTCACGTTTCCTTCCCCATTTCCCTGCATTTCCCCTTCAAGCTCGCTGTCACAGGGACACCCCCTAAACTTCACAGCTAGACGGTACACGTGTGTCCCTGCTGTTTCGAGCTCTGCAGAACACAGGCACACACACCTTCCTGAAGTGTCTCCAGGGGCTCGGTGACCACTGTCTACAATGAGGACTTCACAGGGAGGTGCTAGTGGACAGGCTGAGGATGAGGGGACCCCATGGAGGAGGCTCTAGTGGGAAGGATGAGACCTAGGTCCCCTCACCTAGAAGGAGCATCTCAGGAAGGCTCCAGGTCTCTGTGCTGCTCCAACCTGGAAAACAGAGCCAGGCTCCTGGGGGCATTTCCTCTTCTTGTGGGGCTGATGTGACAACCCCGTGATGAGAAGAAACAGCCTCTGAGTGGCTACACCCTGTGTGCCTGTCATCAGCCTGAGGGCTCTGTGGTCTCCCCGACCTGCGCAGGGGATCAGAGGGAGGACACGTCATGACTGCCACCCTCACGGTTCTGCTCTGCCTCGGTGAGTTGAAGACAGGAGAAAAGTTCTGGTGTGGAAGGGACCCCACCTCACAGCCAGGCCCTGGGCAGTGAGGGGACCTGTCAGGAGGCTCACGGGGAATAGGGATCAGCTTGGGACTCAGGGCCAGTCTCTCACAAGGACTCTCTTCCAGGGCTGAGCGTAGGCCCAAAGACCGACGTGCAGGCAGGTGAGTCTTTCCCCAGGAGGCCTGGTCCCACGTCCTCACTGGGGACAAGGGGCCACTTTGAGCAGTTGGGGCTGGAGACAGCAGTTCTGGGCTGACAAAAGGGGGACATCTGGGAGGTTTGGGGCTGAGAGCTGGGCACTGGGAGTGGGAACTGTCTGTGACCCAACCTCTAATTTCTTCCAGGGACCATCCCGAAACCCACCGTCTGGGCTGAGCCAGGCTCTGTGATCCTCTGGGGGAGACCTGTAACCATCTGGTGTCAGGGGACCCTGGGAGCCAAGAAGTTCCATCTGGATAAAGAGGAAATTTCAGTATTCTGGTACATGCAGAGGCCACAGGAGCCCAGGGACAAGGCTAAGTTCTCCATCACGCAGATGACAGAGCACGCTGCAGGGATATATCGCTGTTACTATTTCAGCCCCATTGGCTGGTCAGAGCATAGTGACCCCCTGAAGCTGGTGCTGACAGGTGAGGGGACGCTCAGGGTCCCACCTCACACTTTGCCCTCAGGAAGGGTGTCTGTTCTCAAGGTGTCCTCTTCACAGCTCAGCCCTGGGGGAGTGAGGAGGTGTGATCCCATTTACATGCTGCCTCTCCCTCTGTTAGGATCCTGCAACAAACCCAGCCTATCAGTGCTGCCGAGTCCTGTCTGGACCTCAGGAGGGAATGTGACCCTCCTCTGTGTCTCGGAGCAGGGGTTTGACAAGTTCATTCTGACTAAATAAGGAGACCACAAGCCCCTCCTGACTCTGGATTCACAGCAACGGCCCCGTGGGTGGTACCAGGCCCTGTTCCTTGTAGACCCCGTATTCCTCAGCCACAGGGGGACTTCTAGATGCTATGGCTGTTACAAGAACACCCCAAAGGTATGGTCACTCCCCAGTGATCCCATGGAGCTCCTGGTCTCAGGTGAGGGGCCCAAACCTATTTCCTTCATGTCTGTGTGGTTAGCTCAGGACTCTGTCCAGGATAGCTACCATCTAGAAAGGCAGTGGAAGGGGCTCTAAGGAGGGTTGTCACGATAAGGTTCTGTCCCTCAAAGGAATGGGGAACAACAGGGCCCTCTCACCCCTGCCCTTTTCACAGATCTGTCACCAGAACTCCCTAGGTATGTGGAGTGACATCCTTGTGGGGGCCATGGGGCAGAAGAGTATGAACAAATACGGGGTCGCCATGAGAAGCTATCTCCAGGCTCTCAACCTTCTTTTCCTTTACCCAAAACTCTCAAGGGACCCTGGTCCCTCATCCACTGGACCCACCTCAACAGCTGGTGAGTCACTGGGGGCTCTTTTCTCAGAGGGGGCACAGACTACCCCGGGGCAGTTCTAAGTCTCTCCAAGCATCTAATGCCCCCCAGATACTCAAGGACAGGCTTGTGTCCCTAGGAGTGGTGCTGGGCATTAGGGAGAGATGCCAGGGCGCACCACGGGGCCCCAGGGGTCTGAGGCCAGCAGATGACAGGTGGAGAGTCAAGGCAGAGGGAGATGTTGGGGTGAAACCAACTGGCAGTGCGGGTCTCAGTGCTCCCAGAGGTGGTGACTGCACAGTCTCTTGTCATCTGGGCCTCAGTTTCACCCTGTGTAATAGAGGAGAATTTTCACTTGGATCTCAAAGGATATCTCAGTTCTGACCTGCAGGACGCAGCCCCACGTCTGCAGAAGTGAAGGACAGGCAATGTTGTGTGTTCAGGTGGCAGGGAAGCACAGAGCAATGACACAGGTGACATCCCAAGCACTTCCCTATCAGCCCTGTGTGGTGCTCAGCCTGTTCTTATCCAAGAAGAAACATTAAATTAAATAAAAATAAACACAGGCTTGGAGACCAAGCTCTACAAAACTGAAATCCCAGCTCTGCATTTCCTGGCCATGGGACCGTGGACAAGCCACATTCCCTCTCTGAGTCCCAGTGTCATTGTCTGTGAAATATATATGGCTCCTGCTGTCTCATTCACAGGTTTGTCTGGAGATTTAGGTGAGGCCCCAGAAGTGGAAGCCCTCAGCGTGGGTGGCCCCACCCTGTGCTTAGGAAACATCAAATTCCTCCTCATGTCCCCTCCTAGATACACACAGAGAAAAGTCCAGGCAGGCCCTGGTTGGGAGTGTGGGGTCTGTAGAACAGAGGACGGATCTTGGCTAGATATAGGAATTGGGGAGGGCACAGAGTCCAACCCACGCAGACTCTGGCTCTGAGTGGTCCCATTTAGGTCCCCCAAAGTCTCTGATGGGTTGGTGAGTAGAGGCGATGGTGTGGAAGTTGCACTGTGTGTCCCAGCTTTGTCCAT